CCTCGTTCCTTATTTAGGGTTCCTTAGGTCAACGCCCCGACTGTATGTTTGTGTCTGGATTACGGCTGTGGTTTGTCCTTTCGCGTTGAGAGGAAAACGGGTAGAGCAAAGCGAAGCCCAAAGCGAAACCAAAACGAACAACAGCGATTGGGTTCAGCCCTGGCACGAAGTGCTCTTAGAACATTTCTGGCTGAGACCGTCGTGGCTTAACTCAGCGGGCTTATGTTCTAAAAACATTGCTTCTGTTATTGGAATATGTGTGGGCCCTGGAAACATGTCACGGTTGGCTTATAGGAATGCGGAACGGCTGGTCCTTGCTCAAAAATCGAGGTCGTCCGCGCCGACATTGGCGCGCAAGCTGTCCGCGTGAGGTCGCGCGTGAGCGCCCTCGTCGCCGGTGCAGCGAGCCGCGCTGGTGTCCCGCAGAAGCCGCCGCGTAAGGTCGCTACGTCATATCGCGCAAGGCCCGTTGTTTCGGGGCTGGACAGAACCCCTAACAGTGACACGTCGATCAGTGAATTGTCCGTTTGCGGTTCTCGAGAGGGCGCCGTGGCTGTCATGTTCCAGGCCTGCGCCCGCCAGGTTTGGGCCTCAGGTCGTTTTCCTTAAACCACGTTTTGCTAAAGGAGGGTCTGTCCATCCCCGACTGTTGCTCGTCACCCAGTTGCTGGCGCCGCCTCGGCGGGGGGCGAGCGGCTTGCCGTGGCTGCTGCTGTTGCGCGGGGGGGGGGGGGAGCTCAGATCGACTGGACGTATGGGCGACCTTTCGCCGCAGTGACCTTTGGTGCGTGCACAGATGGGCCCCCCCGGGTGGCTGAATGCGAAGCGGCAGCAGCGGCTTGGCGCGCCCAGGTTTGGCCACCCCGCGTTTCTCGTCACGCCGCGCACCAGAGGGTCACTTTTGCCTAGGGCCACTCCTGCGTGCAGCCGATCAGCGGAGGAAAACAAAAACGGTCTCATAGTCACCATTTCGGGCCTCGTGGGAAGCCCGCGGCCCAGGAGAGGTGCGAGGAACTGCGGCAGCAGTGTGATGTTCCAGTGTCCCCAGGAGCCGTGGCGCCAGACGTATCCACAGCTGGCGGTTCTGCACTGTTTTGCGTCCCGGCACCTTCACGGATCGATGTGTCTCGATGGATAGCCCGGCAAGATGGGGTCCAGGGTTCCGGTAGAGTTTTCACGATCGTGCAGTGTTTCGGGGGCCCCCACACGGGGTGGTGACCACACCGTGTGGTGAGTCGGTGGGGGTTCGGGGTCACCGCACGGTTTTGGGACTTGGGTCGTTCTCCGAGGATGTCTCGGGCGGTTAGGACCTCCACGGTCCCAAAACCGTGTGGTGACGGACCATGCAGTGAGGTCTTTGCGGATTTCGAGGCCGCCGCCGGGTCTGTCACCACACGATTTTGGGACACCCAAAGTTTTTCATGGTGTCGGATCTCAGGGTCGCGCTGGTGAGAGCGAGGTCCAAACACTGTGGAGTCCGCACCGCCTGACGCATCACATGCCCCACTGGGCCATGGCGTCTCAGCCCCACCAGCCCACCCTTCTAGATTCAGGAGGGGGAAAAAACACACAGACACAATTATTCGTCGATTCCCAGGAAAATATATGAAAATATGGGAAGTGGGAGGGAAGACAGAAACCCAAAACATATAGGAAAATATGGGGAATCCTTTTATTTGTGTGTGTATTTATTTGTGTGTCCCAGGGCCCCTTCATAGATGGGGGATGGGCCCGCGAATCCTGAAGGATCAGGCATACGTATCCCCGCCTAGGTGGGTAAGGTCACCAGTGCTGCCAAGGCCACGCCAGTGGGGATAGGGATCGGTTCACCGATGCTCATCGTGCTTGGGAGAGGGAGGTCCGAAACACCTTGGAGACAGCTGGGCCCAGGGAGGTGCATCCAGCGGCACCACGTGGCGCCTCTGTTGGGCCAAGATGCCAATGTGCAGTGTCCCGGACTGCCCGATTCGACACGCTTTCGGCAGGGATGGCCAAGGGCGTCCCAGCACATCTTGGTCGACGTCGAAGCACCGTCTGGCAGTTCTCAAGCGATTGACCGATGGGCAGAAGATGGCGTTTTCTTGGCGACCTCAAGTGGGAGAGTGTTCGATGTGCGATTTCCGATCTTCTGCTCGCTGTTTGACATGTCGGTCTTCAGAATGCCCAATGGCAGTGATAAAGTGAAAACCCATGCCAAGAAACACCTTGCTTGCCTCCAGGGTGCCCTGGGTTTCTCGGGTTTCGTTGGTTTTGCTATGATAAGCGTTACATTGCCACATCAAAAAACAATGGACGCCCTGGGGTCTGAGGATTGGGTTTCTTGTGGAAGGTTTTGTGTGGTCGAGCTCCTACTGCAATGGCGACGACGAGCATCATGACGGAGCCTCAGGGGAGATGCGTGGATCGCATAACAAAGCGCACAGCGCATCGCACAGCGAAGCACAGCACAGCATACAACAGCATGATCGCAATGCCACAGCACATGGGCATGTAGCAGACGTCTCAGGATAAAGCGACGATCACGTTCTCAGGATAAAGTGGTTCTAGGCCCCCCAGATGGGGTACGAATAGATGGGGTCGGAGGATCGCGCCGCATCGTCGATGCATCGGCGATGCATCGACGATGCATTGGCGGTGCGGCGCGATCCTCCGACCACATCTACTCCGACTCCATTTTAGAGGTCGCTAGTGATGCTCACGTTGTCTTTACCCCGTTCGTGGCCCACTCAGGTTGGTGTCTCTAGTTTTGAGTCGGGCAGGTCGTTGCACAGGAGGAATATTATATTTATATTTGATGATGCTTGAATATGTGTTGAATATCTCGTATGGGTCTTTCAAAGTCTGCCTGTAGGAGGACATGCCCGATCTAACACTAGTCTGCATGGACTCCCTGGGTTCGGAGCGGCAGCAGTTTCCACATCCGAGGCCGCCTGGCGCAAGCGAGAGTGGTTTCATTACCATGGACATTTCGCGCTCCTGGCAGCAAGTACACCAGTCATTGAACGGTTTGCCGTACGGTGGCTAAGTTCGATATTCTTTGTAATGGTGGTCGACGTGGACACCTGTTCTGCGTCGGCGTGGGTTTGGGAAGCCCACTGGACTCAGAGCACAGCAGCACCGTCGTCCGAGGGCCGAGGTGGCCGTCAGGCTCGGCGCCGATACAGAGGCAGGAGGAGCAAGAGGAGGAGCTGAATGAGGAGCAGGAGGAGGTCGAGGACGATGCTAGTTGGAGGAGGTGGTGGAGTACAAGGAGGAGGGAGCAGGAGGAGGAGGAGGAGGAGGAGGAGGGAGGAGGAGGAACAGGAACAGGAACAGGAACAGGAACAGGAACAGGAACAGGAGGAGGAGGAAGAGGAGGAGGAAGATGAGGGAGGAGGAGGGAGGAGGAGGGAGGAGGAGGAGGAGGAGGAGGAGGAGGACCATCGCACAGATTGAAGGTTGAGCAGTGCTACTGCTGCTGCTGCTGCTGCTGCTGCTGCTGCTGCTGCTGCTGTTGCTGCTGCTGCTGCTGTTGCTGCTGCTGCTGCTGCTGCTGCTGCTGCTGCTGCTGCTGCTGCTGCTGCTCTCTCTCCCTCCCCCCGCACGGTTGGCCTTTGGCGGGGGCAGCGGCAGCAGTGGCGGCCTCCTCCATCTCCGCCAACTCTTGGGCTTGGCGCTGGAGGTACTGGTGGAGCTGCATCGGCCGCTCGAAATCTGTTGGCGAATTCCTGTTGCCTCGAGGGTTCCTGCCTTCTAGCAGGAGGTTCCACTGGGTGCGGTCTCCATTCCTCACATACCGTTCGGCACACTTGGAGTTGAGGGACCGCACATTCGATTCAGGAAATTTGCCACACCGACGACAGGCGTCAATGAAAGACCCTCCTTTGTGCTGCTCACCAATGAACAAAGAGTGGCCCTGAGGGTTAGCACAAATATCAGCGAGAGAGAAACCTGGACATGTGCTAGGCCTCTTGCTTGTCGCCCGGGTGCGGCAATCGATGCACAAATAACACTTCCCAGTTGCCTCCCACTTATGCTCCCGCGACTCTCCCCGAAATCTGGATGCGCGGGGAGCCGCGGTAGGAGGAGGAGGGGGCGGGGGGAGGGTCGGCTTCCAAACTTCTTGAACAGAAGCCGCTCCAACTGACGGAGACAGAGACTTCGTCGGCTTCTTGTAAGCCTTCTTTGTCGAGCTGGGGCCTATGGGCGGCCATGCTTGGAGGGCGCTAGCCACCTATAACAGAAATGTACTAAGCAACTTGCACTGGTCGGAATGATCTGTAATTTCAGCCTCCGAGGGTCGGTTGAAAGCTCGGGCCGCGATGCGTGTACAACGATCGGCCCCATGATTGCCCATTGCGTCGGCCCACTCTAGTGAGCATTCGGGGTGGGCATTCAAGTCCTGATGAGCCTTTAGCTTGGAAAACCTGAGATCCACGTGCCAGCCTATGGCACCTCGGGCTAGAAGACCAATTCCAGCATATCTGCTGCGACGAGAAAGTCCTGTGGCATAGAGGTCGATTTTGCCCTGAAAATCGACGGAAGTTCTTGTAATGCTAGGGGAGGAGGTGAGGGCAGCAAGCACGGCACAATGCTCAGCAGCAGGAGGGGATTGGGGGAGGAGACGGCCAACTTGGTCAGTCAGAGCGGCGATCATTTCGCCTTCGGCACTGGTTTTTACCACTGCCCAGCCAGCCGTTTCAAACATTTGATTCCCTGGCTTCAGCGCGGAGCCGTCCGAGGAGACCGTGCCCACTTTGGGCAGAGGCAGGGGTAGCCTGGGGATCCTCGGACCAACATTTCATGGAGCCGAGTCCGAGCCCAGCTGGGGCCCCGACATCGAAAGGAGGAGGAGGAGGAGGAGGAGGAGGAGGAGGAGGAGGAGGAGGAGGAGGAGGAGGGAGGGAGGAGGAGGAGGAGGAGGGAGGAGGAGGAGGAGGAGGAGGAGGAAGAGGAGCAAGAGGAGGAGCAGGAGGAGAAAGGGGTCGGGGGGGCGGTGCCTCTCAGACCACGGACGTCATGGCTTTTTGACCCCCAGAGGCCTCGGCCTCCTTTTCATCCCCACTCGTTTTTGGACGGTCCCGAGGCCCGGTTAGGGGCCCCCAGAGGCCGAAATTCGCAAAACACCTTTCCTTGCGATTTTCTCACTTCGCGACCCAGATCATCTTTGGATACAGATTTTTTGTCGGTCGCGATCGGTAGCGGCTGATCGGCACTCCAAGTCGGTCGCGACCGATCGCGACCGATCCGTCGCGACCGATTTTGAAGCAAATCGGTCAAGCCGGATACCGAGATTCGAATCAGAATCGGTAGCGACCCTTCTCGCCGGTCGCGACTGGAAAATCCCAGTAGACAATGACCAGGCGAGGGGGTCTGGGCTCCTGGGAGCGGCTTTTCATCCCTCAGCATCGCTCGGGCGTGTGCACTTTTCCTTCGGCGAGGACCATCGAGGAGCCTCCTCGATCATCTGGCGAAAAAACCACGCACGAGACCGAAAAAAGCTCAGGGAATGGACGTCCGAGCGATGACCAGCCAGGCGAGGGGGTCTGGGGCTCCCGGGAGCGGCTGTTCATCCCCCAGTCATTTTGGGACGGCCCCGAGGCCCGGGCAGGGAGGGGCCCCCCGTGGCCGACGTCACCAAAAAAACCTCCCGCCGCAAACCTCTCCGCCTCCTCCTCCTCCTCCTCCTCCTCCTCCTCCGCCTCCTCCTCCTCCTCCTCCTCCTCCTCCTCCTCCTCCTCCTCCTCCTACGCCCCTTCCTTCTCCACGGATCCGCGCGAGAGCGCGAATACATCAGTGTCCTCATGCCCCTTCCTGTCCCCCCCTCCCTCCCCACGCCCCCTCCTATCCTGCAGTGGAGACCCATGCCAAGAAACACCCTGCTTGCCTCCAGGGTGCACCGGGTTTCTTGGGCCTCGATGGTTCCTGTGGAAAGCGTGCCGCCCCCGCACCAGGAATCGGTGGTCTTCCTGGGTCTCAGGGCTGGGGGTCTCGTGGAAGATCTCTTATGGTCGAGCTCCTGCTCTGCGCGAAGGGGGTGCGGGCTCCCTGCCCCCCCGCGCGCTCGCCGCGCGCCGCCCGGGGTGCCCCCCCCGCGCGCTCCGAAGCTGGCAGCCGAAGTGGGCGGACACCGTGCGGGCCATCGGCAACCGCAGGGCGCGCGCCTCCGCCCTCGCCGGCGCCTCCTCCGGGGAGGGCCCTCCAGGCCTCTATACGCAGATGGGGTCGGAGTGCAGTGGAGGCCCATGCCAAGAGGCACCCTGCGTGCCCCCAGGGTGCCAGGGTGCCCCTGGGTTTCTCGGGTTTCGATGGTCTTGTGATGGAACGCGTGACGTTCTCACACCAAAAGTGAAGGGACGTCCGGGGGTCTCAGGGTTGGGTTTCTTGTGGAAGGTTTCTTGTGGATTGGCCTCCACCGCAGAGGATGGGGTCGGAGGATCGCGCCGCTCTCTAGGTCTCCTGCGACGGGGTCGGAGGATCGCGCCGCTTCGCCGATGCATCTGCGATGCGGCTCGATGCGACGCCCGAGTTTCTCCGCGCCGATGCGTCGCCGATGCATCGACGCTGCACCGGCGATGCACTGTCGATGCGGCGCTATCCTCCGACCCCATCTACTCTTAAGTCGGGCGTATCCCTCGACTGGAGGAATATTCTAAAATGGTCAAGCAATACTCCAGGGACGATTTATTGATGAGTTTCACATGTTGCTTAGTTCTCCTCTGTCAGAACCCCGAATCACCAGGGGTAGCTCGGGTCAGGGCAAACTCGGGTTCGTTTTTCGGGAATCCGAACCCGAGCTACCCCGGGCCCGAGTTGCCCCGCCCGGATAATTCGGGCGCCCAATTCTGCCTTTTCAATCAACCACGTATATTTTCCAAAATCCTCCTGTAGGAGGACATACCCGACCTCAATCTGCCCCGACCCCATCTAAGATCGTGACCTCGCAAAGGGCGGGGGTGCCGCAGGAGGGGGGGGAGTTCGGTCCACTGGCGCATCGAACCGCAGAAAAACGATGCAAAACGAGGTCTCTGGCCGCCGCCTGAACCCGAGAGGCGTTGACAATCAGGGCGCGCGGGGGTCATCGTTTTTCGGAAATTCGATGCACCAGCGGATGGAACTCACCCCCCCCCCCTGAGGCCATTGGCGTTGCAGTTGTGTTCGCAACTGGCGTGCTCGCTCAAGTTCCTCCTCCTTTTTCCTCCTCCTTCCCCCTCCTCCCCCTCCTCCAGCCGTTCTGGCACACAGGTGTGTTTGATACTGCGAACTTCAGAACGGCATTGCAGTATCGGGTCAGGTGGCTCGTTTCTGACCGCTCCACAGAGTTTCCCTCTGCCATGTCCAATGGCTCCTGGCAGTCGCGTGGGCAAGGCAACGGTGCCTGGCAGCCTACCCCGCCCTGGCGCGGCCCGACCCAGTGGGGCAGCCGCGAGGGCAGGGGGCAGGGGGCTGCGTGGGCAGGCCAGTGGAGCGGCAGGCGCTGGCGGTGCAGCCAGTGCAACTGCAACAAGAACATCGACTCGTGGGCTTTCTGCAAGCATTGCGGCGCAGAGAGGCATGATCCAGCTCAGTGGCCAGACCTTCCGCGCCTTCCTGGGCCTCAAGTTCCTCCTGGTGGTGGGGCTGGTGGCAGCCGGTTCAACGGCAGTGTCGGAAGTGTCTCCCTCTCGGCCGACGAGCTGCGCCAGCTCATCTCACTCTGCGAGAAAGGAGGAGATATGTCAGCCGCTAACAAGCACAAGCAGGCCCTGGACAAGCTCACGAAGTCAGCACAGCCCGCTCCTGTACAACAGCGGGCCGCAAAAGCTCATAGTAACGTTCAATACTGGGAAAGGAAGCTCTCAGTCGAATTGGACCGCCTCGGCAAGCTGGAAGATCAGCTCAGTGTGCAACGGGACGCTGCTGCTGCTGCACGTGCCGAGCTACAGGACGCCGACGAAAAATACAAGGAGCTGGTCAGGGAGTTGGCTGGTGGCATGGTCAGCACCGAGGATTGTTCAAAGGGAGTCGTCGGCAAGGTCGATGTATCCGAGCTCATGGATGGTAAGTGCACCGTGTTCGACCTGGTCAGCCCCGACTCGATTTTCAAATTCGACGAGAGTGAGTATACTATTGCCAAGGAAGATAAGGATGAGATGGAGACACGCCGCCAGACGCTCAACGCCCAGTTCCGCGAAGCCTGCTCGTCCATGCTCGCTGACGCCCTCTCGAAGGCCAAAAACATTCGTGAGGAGCAGGCCAAGCACGTGGCTAGGTTGGGCAAGAAGCGGCGGGCCGACGAGGATGGAGGCACGCTTCCTGGGGCAGCTCAGCCGACGGCTGCGGCAGGAGCAGCACCGAGGACTCCGCCTGCCGCTCCAGCTTCATGTGAGCCACAGGCAGAGTCTGGGGCGGCTGCTGGGGAAGGCAGCGACAGTGACGCTTCAGCAGCCTCTTCAGTGCGCGAGCGTGCGGCTGCGGCCCTTGACAAGCCTCAGCAAGCCCCCCCCCCCCCCTGCCGTGCGTACCCCATAAGGGCGGCAGGGGGAAACGTCTCCATGGAAAAACTGCGTGTCAGCTCGAGCCTGTGGACCGCCTCGCTCGGACCATCTCAAAACTGGATACGTTTCTCTGGTTTCTTTTGTCTCCTGCCGACAGTGGCCCAGCGGCCGCGGGTAGTCTCGGAAATGGTTTTGGAAGGCGCGACACGCTGTCTGCGCAGCCTTTAGCATATCCGCAGACGAGCCTTTCGGCAGGCACCTCCGCCCCCCACGTTAAATTTTGTCTTGCCGACGTGGGGCGTGGGCTCTCTCAGCCCTTGTCAGGGGGGTCTGACAGTTTTGACTTCTTTGGGGCCCCCCAGGCCCCTGGTAAGGATGCCATTGCCCTGCAGGTTTGTAGTTGCAATTGTACGGCGTGGTCATCAGCCAAAGAGTGGCTGCCGACCACGTCGGCTCACGTAGTTTTGTTACAGGAGCATCACCTTAGAGAATACCAGATTGCTGAGGCCCAGAGTTGGTTGCTCAAGAACGGGTGGAAGGGCCTCTTCGAACCAGCTAAGGTGACTCGTGAAGATACGGACGTGTACACCTCAGGCGGGGCGGCGGTTCTGGCCAGGAGCTTTCTTGGATTGCACGAACCAGTCGGAGGTACTAAGGTATGCCAGCACCGTGCAATGGCAGCGTGGACTCATGTAGGCAAGGGGGATCCCATCCTGCTGATCAGTTGCTACTTGCACTGTGTTGAAGAGCTCAGCGATGCGAATCTTGACATTCTCGCTGAGATAGGCTCCACGGTCAGCTCGCGCATGTCTTCGTATATTATCGGAGGGGACCTCAACATGGGCCCCGCGGTCTTAGGCAAGTGCCAGTACGTTGAGTCCCTGGAGGCCCAGTTGGTGAGCACGGAGTCTGGGACGTGTCTTTCTTCTGCGGGAGTTCGAGTCCTGGACTATTTCCTGGTTTCCAGTGGGCTCGCCAAAGGTATCTGCTCGATCCAGGTAAATTGTAATGTTAACATCTCACCGCATTATCCTGTGGAAATGACCTTTTTCGAGCAGTTGGAGGACCTGAAGGTGTTATCTTCTCGGGAACCTCCCCCTCTTCCTGTCGAACCTCCTATTGGTCCTGCCCCTGCCCCCCGTGACTGGAGCCAAGTTCTCAAACTTGCTGAGGGAGTTTTTGATTGTGCTCAGCGTGGGTCTCGCGAGGCATTTGAGGGGCTCGACGCGTTGCACATGTCTTGGGCTAATACGGCTGAGTTGGAGTTAGAAGGGGCCCTACAGACAAAGTTGCCTAAGAATGGTTGTCGGGGAGAATCTCCACAAGTCTGGTGGGTTGACATCAGGAAAAGAGACAAACGTCCAGGTCGACGCCCCGCTTTGTTCTGCGTCCGCTGGCTCTGTCAGAATTATCGGCTCTGGTGGATTCACGCACGGGCTGGAGAGCCCGACAAGCCAGCCAGATTTCACGCAACAGCAGCCATCTGTTCCCCTTCGAGTTTCATTCTGGACAACTTCGCCAAGAGTGATTTCAGCCAGTTGTATGTAGATGTATGTGAGTTTATAGCGAAGGACGGCCAGTCTTTCGATGATTGCTACACCATCCCGACGCGCCTCGCAGACGCGCTGAATATGGCCTCGCTCGCTGCCAAGAACGATGCTGACCGTACGTGGAAGGAGTGGCTTCTGAAGGACATCGACCAAGGGGCTCGCACGGCCCACGCTTGGTCGAAGCCTGTCGAAGCCTGGGCTCCGTCCTCGACACTGTCAGCATCGGGTCAGGTGCTATCAGACCCTTTGTCGTTACTCAAGGCTGAAGGGCTCAGGTTCAAAGGTCTGTGGCTGGCCACTGAAGGAGCTGAATCCATCGACTACAACCAGTGCCAGGATTTCCAGCCTATGCCTGCCTTGCCAAGAGTTTCTGTTGACACGATTCGTTTGGCAAGCCGCTCATACAACAGTCGATCTGCAGTCAGTGTTGATGGGTTTCACATGAGGCACTTTCGGCTTCTTTGCAACGAATCGCTCGAAGTCCTTTCCTACATCTTCGGTATCATTGAGATGATGTCGACTCTTCCCATTCAGATTCGTTTAGTGATTCTGGCTATGCTTCCAAAGCCGATGGGCGGCCTGCGCCCGATCGGGATCTTCACGTCCACTTACCGCTTGCGGGGGAAGATCAGGAGGGAGGTTGCAGTGGAATGGGAGGAGGCTCACTCGGCAAGTTGTTTCTCAGGTAGTGGGTTTAAGAGTGCCACGGATGTTGTCCGGCGCCAAGCTGCTCGTGCAGAAGGGTCCACACGCGAACAGGGGGATATGCTGCGACAGTATTATGGGACATGTATAAGTTTTATGAGTTGATGGACCTTGGGGATCTTGAGGCTCGGTGTCTAAAATTGGGTTTCTCGCACGCAGTCATCAAGGTTTCGCTGGCTGCTTACAAACCGGCTCGTTTCATTGACATCGCTGGATTCCTGGCTGGGCCTTTTCTGGCATTCAGGGGTGTTATTGCAGGCTGCAGTCTAGCTACAAGTTATGTGCGTATCTTGTGCATGAATACGTTTTTGCAGGTCTCCGTGGGGCCCACCACTAGCATCGACCTCTTCATAGATGACATAGGGATTTCTAGTACTGGCACTTTCAAGCAGGTCTTGGCTGATTTGAAGTCGGCTACGGCAGC